TGATTTCACGAGCAAGCAAGATTCTACTGAAGATTATCCAAAAACAACTGGAACAGCACATCAGCAGAGAACTGGGCAGATGTCCAGGCTGGGTTTAGAAGGGGTCGAGGTACTAGGGATATTGTAGCTGATGTTAGATGGATCTTAGCTGAAAGCAGAGAATACCAGAGGAATGTCTATCTGGGTTTCATTGACTATTCAAAGGCGTTTGACTGTGTGGATCATAACAAACTGCGGCTGACTCTGAGAAAAATGGGAATCCCAGAACACTTGATGGTTCTAATATGAAACCTATACTTGGACCAGGAGGCAGTTGTCAGAACAGAGCAAGGGAACACAGCATGGTTCAAAACTGGGAAGTGGTTGAGCCAAGGACTAGATGTCTGGCTGTGCTGGTCCAGGATCTAGGTCCCTGGGCCCACCAGTGGTGCAGTCCACGCGGAAGTGTGCTAACACACAGGAGCTGCTTCCCTGGCAGTTGGAATACACCAGGAGCTGTTGTCAGCTGAGGGAAGAGACAGGGACACACAGAAATGGGGCTCAGATCACAAAGCGTGAAGGCAGGGGGTTAACAGCTGGGAGAACTGCAGCCCCTATGCTATGCCTTTCTGTGGTTTTCCTGAGAATCGCCAGGAAGTAAACAAAGGAAAATCACAAGGGAAAATCACAAAAACAAAGGATCATGGGGACGTAAATCACAAAGAAAAATCTTCTGTAAATAAGGCTGAATTCTCTATTGTTTACCTTATGCTTATCTCAGGAGGGAGGGATTAGTAAATACAAACTAAGAATCCTGAAAACCTTAAGGCTTGCCCTAGTGCCTACCGCTGTAAGCACTGAAGGATTGCCTTAGTGCTTCAGGGTGAATGCAGCTTGTATCAGCCCCCTCACCCCCTGATGTAGCATTTGGTTAAATATTAACATTAAATTGTATATTTGGCTTCCCACCAGCAGCTGCTGGCGAGAAAGAAGGACAATGTCCTGCTGTGTGATTTACAGCCTCCCAAAGCCCCAGTGGAGGGTCAGCTAGGAGTCGGCCCTGCTGTACCAAGGCCTCACACAGTTAGGAAGGCTGGCAGCAGAGACCTCTTGGAGGGATGACCCCGGAAGTTCAGAATGTAGACAAGGTGTCAGCTCCATGACACAGGTGGTGCGTTCTTGTTGGGACAGCAGCAGCAGCAAATGCAAACGCTCTTTGGCAGGGACAGCGGATAGCGGACAAGTGGGGACACAGTGAGCATGGTGGTGTGTACTCCAGGGGCAGAGGGAGGTCCTGGTCATGGGGGCTGCAGGGAGTGGGGCCAAGCAGCTCCATGGTATGGGCTGTAGGGGGTAGAGGTGGAGGAGCTGGTGGAGTGGGCTGTTGGGAGGGGTAGCAGGCAGCTTGGTGGTGTGAGCAGCTGGGGGCAGGGGTGGGTGGAGATAAGCTTGCTGTGTGCGCTGGCTGCAGTCGGGGGCAGGAGCCTTGTGGAGTGGGCTGCAAGGCTCAGGCTACTGGGGGATCTGGGGGGGAACCAGGTGGTGTGGGCTGCAGGGGTGAAATGTGCCTGTGTGTATGTGTGTATATAGGTGGGTAGCCAGGTTGTGTGGGCTGCAGAGGGTGGGCAGAGAGGCCAGATGGTGTGGGCTGCAGGGCAAGGGGAAGCCGGATAGTGTCCACTGCAGGGGGGAGGGGGAGAGCCTGGTGATGTGAGCTGCAGGGTTGTGGGGTCGGGGCGGGGGTAGCCTGGACGTGTAGATCGTAGTCATGTGGGCTCCAGGGGCGGGGCGGGTTGGGGTTCCGATGTGACTGGAGGAGACGGAGGGAGAGAAATGGGAAGCCAGGTGGTGAGGTGTGGCAGAGTGGCGATGTGGGCCCCAGAGGTGCAGTGGGTGTACGGTGCTGTGGCCTCTAGGGGGCAAGCAGGACCTTGGGTGTTTGAGGCACAGGCACAGGGACAGTGGAGAGTCCACTCGTCCCTCGCAGCCCTGCCTGACGGCACATGTGACTGTGTGACAATGATCACGTCACCCGACTGGATGACAGTGGTGAAGTAGTGACAGCACCACTGGACCTAGAACTGCCTCTGCTGAGGGCCCAGGGCTCTGGAGGCCGAAGTGGGTCAGCCACCCTGAGGTGTCCCCACAGTAACCAACCTAAGGCATCCCCTACAGTGCCCCAGGCCGTTATCTGCAGTGGATATTGTGGAAGGCAGCTTCTTCCCTCCACACCCCAGCCTAGAGAGAAGGGTACCCATGCTGTGGGCACCCACTGGCCATGAGAAGGTAGCCTGGCCTTAAACGTGACTGTTGGGCCAGCCAGAGGCCAGCAGCTCTCACTGGGCTTGCAGGTAGTCTAACTCAGTTCCAGGTATGTGAGCCTGGAGTCCTATGACTGTATTACCTGGCCCCTGAGGGCGGCCACCTCGTCCTAGGCAAGGTGGCTTGCCTGGCTGGCCTGTGGGTCACAGATCCCCAGGGACACACAACTCACGTCTGTCTCAGTTCAGCGCAGGTTCATCTCAGAAGGTCAGCACAGCTTAATGTCCTTTTTCAAAGGGGCCTGGGTGATACCAGCTGGACCCCCAGCCTCGGCCTCCCACCTGCTGTCTCTGGCTAGAGATGCTTCTGGGACATGCCTGCTCGGCTGGGGAGGGACACCAACCTACTGTGCATGGAGGACTTGGCCTGTGTCCGCACCTGCACCCGCACTGCCCCGTCCCTGCAGCCCCCACAGAACCCTGAACCTCTTGCCCTGTGATCTGATCTCTGCACCTGCCTGTAGCTCTCTGACTCTGTGCTTATGTTGGTCAGCGTGTATCAGGCCCCTACTGCGAGCTCTGGATGGGTGTCTGTGATGAGCACCACAAGGCAGGAAGGAGTGAGGGGTGGCCGGGTTTTGAGATCTGTGTGTTTGTCCTGCCATGCCCCACTTCTCCCCTGGTCTCACAACGCAGGCCCTTCCCTGGGGGTCCTGCCTTCAGTCACCAGCAAACACTCTGCAGGAAGATGGTCACTTCAGGGGTTCAAAAGTGGAAAGGCCTGGCAGGGGCAGGCCCAGCCTAAGAGCTGGTTCTTATTTTCCTTCAAGAAGGCACCGTGGGAGGGTGCTTTGCAGGTGAGCCCTGGGAACTGGATTGCTGTTTTAACGTGGGGAAGCTGCACCACTGGGCAGCTGGAGGGCACAGCAGTCCCATGGGGACCTAGACTTCACTTCTCTGACTCACAGAGTCTCTTTTTCAACAAAAAGGAGCCATGAGCTCTCTGGGCGGAGCTTCATGCCCGGAAGCGTGGGCTTCAGTGTCATGGGGCAGAGAGTGAAAGGCTTCCAGCCTTCGCACTGTCCTCTGTCACCTCCCTTTAACTGTTCCGCGGGGTAACTGAAGCCTATCACCCGCCCTCCTGCCCTCCTTCTTTTATGTGAACCTGAAAGCAGTGGTGAGGCAGGTTCCAGGTGGGGAACCCGGTTTTGCTTCAGAGCTGTGAGACTCACTGCCTCTACTGTGCCTCAGTTTACCCTTCTGGGAAATGAACTGCAAGAGTGGACATCAGAGGTCTCTGTGTGCCTGTGTTTCAGCCCAGAGCAAGGTCTTGTGTACAGTCCCTCAAATGACCCTAGGGAAAGAGGGAAAGCGGGGCTCTGGTGAACTAGGGATAAGAACTTGGACTGCAATCGCCAAGGCACACAGTTGAATCGGTTATCTGCTCCATGGGGGTTGACAATCTCCTCCCATGCCATTTGCTGCCTCAGAAAACCCGCTGAAGGGCCAGCTATGGGTCAGCCTGTCTCAACGGCACACAACAGACGAGATGGTGGTGGGGTCACCCCCACTCTGGTGTCTTCTCTGTACTCCAGAGGCTGGGACAAGGCCCAGCAGCTTCACTCAGTTGGAGGCCTTTGGTCAGCGCTTTGGCCCCTGCTGGCCTCTGGCGCGGACCTCTCTTGTGTTCTCAGTGACCGCCATTCACTCCCATCAGGGGGTGCCCGCCTCCCCTGCTTTTGTCAGGGTCCCCCATGCAGTGAGCGCTCAGTGAAGGCTGACCCGATGCAGAAGCTGGTTTATTGTGCGTCCCGAGCCCTCCAGACCCCCCGAGGCCCCAGGTCCTCTTCAGGGGCGCGAGGTCTCCGCCAGGACGCCCTCGATCCAGGCCGCGTAGCTCCCCAGGCGCGTGTAGACCCCCGGCTTCTTGCGGTTGCCGCACACGCGGGAGCCCGAGGTGACCACGCCCTCGGCCACGCCCCCGCACACCAGCGGGCCCCCCGAGTCGCCCTGGGGGGACAAGAGTGCTGGTGCCACACCTGCCACTCTCAGCCCTGGCCTTAAGTCCAAGGCTCTCCGCTCCTGACCCTTCCCGCTCGTCCCAGGCCTCCCCAGAAACCTCCAGCAAGGACCCCGCAGTCCAGCTCTGCCCGCTGCCTCCTCCGCTTCCACGCCTGCCAATCTCACAGGCCCCGCCCCTTCCCCAAGTCCCCGCCCACGAGGGCCGGTGCGGACAGTCCCAGGCCCCGCTCCTGTGACGCAGTGTCCACCTCATCTACCCAGACCTGCCCTTCGCAGACACCATCTTGCTCTGTCCGCAGGCCTGACCCTCGGCCACTCTGCAAACCCTGCCCCACCCCAAACCCCTTCTGTGCTGGCCCCACCCCCTTGCCCCGCCATTCCAGGCCTTCCCGCATCCCGGAGACCCCCGCCCCTTCCCCTGCCCCTTTCTGGGTCCCCGCCCCATTTCCGCTGAGCTACATTCGGGGCTCCTCGCCTGCTCCCACCTTTGCCCAGTCACCGCCCCTTCTCCTGCCCTTTCCTCTAGTCCCCGCCCCATTGGTCCTGCCCCTCTCAAATCCCGCCCTTTTCTCTAGTTCTCAGCTCTTCTGAGCTCCGCCCTTTCACCTTGTCCTCAGGCCCCGCTATAGGCCCTGCTCCCTACAGGCTCCTCTCCCTATAGGCTTCCCGCCCCATAGGCCCTGCCCCCCCAGGTCACGCCCTCTCCTAGCTCCCCATCTCATCTCAGCCCCGCCCATTTCTGCCTCGTCCTATAGATTCCGCCCTCTCCTCTCAGCCCCGCCCTCCCCTCGCGGCCCCACCCCTGGACCCCGCCCTCTCCCCTCTGCCCTGCTCTCTCTTGTCAATCCCGCCCTCTCATCTCTGCCCTGCCTCTCCCCTCTCCCCCGCCCCATAACCCCATCCTTTCCTCTCGGCCCCGCCCCTCCTAGAGGCTCCGCCCTCTACCACAGGCCACGCCCTCTCGGTCCGCCCCTTCTCTCTTCCCGCCCTCTCCTCTCGGCCCCGCCCCTCCTCTCTTCCCACCCTCTCCTCGCGGACCCGCCCTCCTCTAGGCCCCGTCCTCTCCTCGAGGCCCCGCCCCCTCATAGAGGCCCCGCCCTCTCTCTGTTCCGCCCCTTCTCAGGCCCCGCCCTCTCTCGGCCCCGCCCGCACCTTGCAGCTGTCCTTGCGGTTGCTCTCCGCGCACATCATGCGCTGAGTGATGGCGCCGTCGTGGTAGGTGCGCAGGTTGCAGGTGGCGCGGTCCAGCACCGGCAGGCGCACGTGCTGCAGGCGGTCCGGCCGGCGGCCCGTGTGGCTGACCACGCCCCAGCCGGTCACGTCGCCCAGCGTGCCGGCTGCCACGTCTCGGTCCTCACGCTGCCAGGCCAGAGTTCGTACGTTGGGGCCCAGAGTGGCCTTCTCGGACAGCTGGGGGCACAGGAGAAAGTCAGGGCGCGGAGAGGGAGGCGGGCAGCAATAGGGGCTGTAGCTGGACTCCCAGGGACCGCAGGCAGGACAGGGCCCAGTGGAAGGGGAAAGGGGTCAGCAGGAGGGACGGCAGGCAGGACAGGGCCCAGTGGGGAGGGGGAAGGGGTCGGAGCAGCATCGCACTCGCTGACCTGCAGCAGGAGGAGGTCGTGGTCAATAGTGTCCGGCTGGCTGTCCGGGTGGGGCACCGCGCGTCGCACATCGTACAGGCGCTTGGAGGGCTCGGGCTGCGACAGGGAGTGAGCTCCCAGGAGCACCTGCACCTTGCCGCCGGCCCTGGGGACAGAGAGTGACCAAGGTCAGAGATCAGAGCCTGCACCGTGCCTGCCCCTGTCCCACGTCCCCCGTCACTCACGCGTCCTCCAGGCAGTGCGCCGCGCTCAGCACCCACTGCTCCGCCACCAGGAAGCCGCCGCACACGTGCGCACCGTTCACCTGCACCGACGCCATGTAGGGCCACGCGTGGGCCTGGGCTTCACGGCCTCCCAGGATGCGGCCCCGGGGCTGTGCCTCTGTGAGTGGACAACAGGACTTGAGGATGCAGGAGGGCCACACACCTGGGGATCTGGGACCCTTGTGAAGCCCTCAGACCACTCTACTGGTCCCAGCAGCCAGGTTCCCCATCACAGCAGCCCTGCGGCCCAGGATGGCAAGCACTGCCCCGGGGCTAGGCATGGATGCAGGAGAAGACGGTTGGCCTGGTGGGGCCTGGATGCAGGCCTGGGTTACACCCAGCCGTAGACACAAGCCTGGCTGCCTCAAATTCTCCAAAAAATGGGACCACCAAGCCAGACACTCCTGCTGACCGTCCTGATTGGGGGGGACTCTGGAAACTTCGGGTTCAGATTTTGAGAATTCCTTGGTTTTGAGAGCCTTCTGAGTGCAAGTGTTAAGTGCTCAGTTGTTAACCAAAAGTTTGCTGTTCGAAGTCCATCCTGTGATTAAGGCCAGCGAGCCCGTGGACATGCCAGTCGGTCATGGGGTCGCTGTGAGTCCAAATGGAGCCCACAGAATTGGAAGGTGGGGCGTGCAGAACCCAATTCTGATAATTCCTCAGCTCTGAGAGCCCTGGTGGTGCAGTGGTTAAGCGCTCTGCTGTTAATGGGAAGGTGGGCAGCGGCCGGGAGAGGACAAGGCCTGGTGGTCAGCGGCTGTACCCTCACAGCCGGGGAACATCGTGGGGCAGGTTCACCCTGTCCTGGGGGTGCCCTGACCCGATGGCAGCCACACTCACAAGGACGCTGCCTCCCACCCCCACCTGCACTCCTAATGGGGCCAGAGGTTATCCTGGGTGGCCGGCCCATTCCAGGCTGGGGGCCCTGACCCATGTCCACTCACCACACAGAGAGGCTCCTAGGAGGACTAGAGCCACCAGGCACACAGAGCTGTCCACCATGCTGCAGCTGTGTCTACGACACCGACCAGGCGGGGCTGGGGGGCTTTTATGAGCCTGGAGGGAGGTGGGGAGCTCCCACAAGCCCCATCTGGTGGGTGGGCAGCAGCCCAGCTGGAGAAAAGAGAACTGGCCTCCTCCCTCCGGGGGTGGGGGTGGGGGCAGGGCACTATGTATCTTTAAGACTGCACCAAGAGCAGATTGGGGTCCCCTCGTGTCCCTGGCCCGTGACCCTGGCCCAGGCTGTGCCCGAGTGAGGACAGCCCCTCAACATGGGGAGGGGGCACGGGGGGAATTGAACCTCATTGGCTCCCCCCACCCCCACCCCAAATGTTCTTACAGCCCTGATTTCACAAGGTTTGGAGCCCACAATTTGTAAACAACCACTTCCTCATGTTATACCCTCCCTTCTTCCTCCTCCAACTTGGAAAGGAGGTGGGGTGGGGGTGGAGCAGTCACCCTTGTCCCTGTCCCTGCAGCCTCTCATGTCACCAAGGAGGTCAGAAAAGTGGCCCGCAGGAGCAGGGAGGGGCAGGGGAGCCAAGCTTGCCTGGGTGGAGCCTCCAAGGGGATATACAGACAAAGCTTCCTTGCCATCTGCCTTAGGAAGTGAAGATGGTCGGCGTTGTCTGCTATGCCTTGGAGATGTTATCCAGCCCCTGAGAAGGCCTCACATCTGGTAAAGTACAGGGTCAATGAGGAGGAGGAGGAGGAAGCCCCTGGAGGAGATGGACCGACAGGGCAGCTTCAGCAATGGCTTGGACACAGCAGAGATGGTGGAGCCGCTGCAGGACCAGGCATGTTTTGTTCCGTTACACACGTCCTGGCTGGAGGTGCGGCCAAGTTCACAAGAAAAGTTGGCATATGTTGTTGTTATGTGCCGTTGATTCAGAGCAGCCCTGTTTGCATTAGTCCTGCAACCTGCCCTCTCCTGAGCCAATCTCATCGTCTCGGACAGACCCAATCCCATTTCTCCAGTCACTGAGTCAATCCATCTCAATGAGGGTCTTCCTCTCCTGCGCTGGCCCTCCACCCTTCCAAGCATGATGTCCCTCTCCAAGGACTGGTCCCTCCTGGCCATGTGCCCAAAGTATGTGAGAAAGAGCTTCAAAATGCTTGCCTCCAGGGTGCAGCTTAGTTTCACCCTCTTCAGGACAGACCTGTTTATTCTCCTGGCAGTCCACGGTATGTTCAACACTCTTGTCCAGCACCACAATTTGAAGGCATCGATCTTCTTCAATCATCCTTAGTTATTGTCTAGCTCTCGGATGCATAGCAAGTAATTGTGAAGACTATGGCCTGAATCAGATGCACCTTAGTTTCCAGACTGACATTGTTGCTCTTCAGTACTCTAGAAAAGTCCCCGACAGCAGACTTTCCCAGTGTTTCGTGAAATTCTGTGTCAGCCAATTATTTTTGGTTTAGTGCCTCTGTGTACTCTTACCATTTTCTTTCTTTCTTTCTTTTTTTAATGTCTTCTTTCCATTTTCTTTTGATGCTTCCTAGGTCATTCAATATTCTGGCCATCACATCCTTAAGCATTGCAACTCGAGGCTTGGTTTTGTTCTTCAGTGCCTTAAGAAATGCAGAGCGAGCTCCTCCCTTTTGATTTGCCAACTCCAGCTCCTTGCACATTTCGTTGTAATACTTTGTCTTCCCGTGGTTCACCTTTCGAAATCTTATGTTGATCTCCTTAAATTCTTGATTTCTTCCCTTTGGTAATTAATGTCATGAAGGGAGCTCTGGTGCCTAGTGGCAAAAAGTTGCGCTGCAGTCCTGCAGTCTGGATCCACCAGTTGTGCGCATGAGAAGGATGGGCCCTCTCCTCCCGTGCAATTAAACCCCTCTGAAGACCCGCCAGAAGCTCAGCTGTGGGTCAGTCCCGACTCCAACGTACACAATAACAACAACTAATGTTACAGTTTAAAAACAGGTCTGTCTGTAGCCTGGTGTCAGTGCCTCCCACCGCTTTTACCTCCGTGAAGGGTCGCCCTCTCCCAAAGTGAAGACCTCAACTCCAATTGCGTGCTAGCCTGTCTCAGGTCTGCCTCCGATTGGCCGAGCTTTAGATCACATGTCCCTCCTAGACCCTTGTGGCCAGGAGATGGCGAGCTCTCATTGGCTGACCTGGGCCACGAGGCCTCTGTAGATGGAGAGCTTGGTTCCCGCTCCCTTGAACCTGGGAGGTGGTGGTGTTGGGACTTCATGGAGGTGGTGGGCTCACGTGGGAACAGTCGCATATTGCTTTCTCCTCTCCGTCTTCTCTGTGGACTGTATCATCACACAGAGAAGCCAAAACGCAAGTCCTCTGCCGCTGACCGGATTCTGACTCCTGGCAACCCTCTGTCAGGTGTCTGAAGCTGTCATCTCCGTGGGAGTCTCTTCATGCGGCTGGTGGATCCTAGCCACCGGCCTTAGGTTAGCAGCCCAGCATGCAACTGCTGTGCCCCAGGGCTCCTTTCCGGGAGGAATAGAACGTAATACAACAGATGGGGTTCCATAGAGCCCAACAGGTGGGACAGGATCAGATTCGGAGTCAACTCGACCCCAGTGGATTGGTTTTTAAACAGATTTCCTTAATAAAATCAGAAACGCTGAGCAAAAGCCTGGTAAGATGTGGAGTCCAACTTATGTGCGAGGAGGAATGTTCTCGATTGCAACAGAATTTGGAAACAAACCAGGCAGGGCGGTGCAGTCAGCCCTCCGCCCCTCCACACACACTCCCGGGTGCCGGGCTGCGTGGCAGAAGGCGGTGTATGCGCTGAGAAAAGGCCATGCTGGGCAGAGGCCCTCCCTCCGGGCAGCTGGCACATGGGATGTGACAGGGAGCTGGCCAGGGGCACCTGTGGGAAGGGCAGGCCCGGCAGATGGACGGCACCAGCAAAAGTTCGGAGAGAGGGCTGCGTTCCAGTAAGAGGATGTGGCGGGGAAGAGGAGGGAGCGAGGGAGGGGTCTCCCAACGTCGCAGGGAGGACGTGGGCTCTCATTAACCTGTGGGTTGGTAACTGTCACTCTGAATCACGTGATGACAGAGACGTCTCATCACAGTCCCCATGGAGCAGGCCCTTACCAGACTCCGACCACCCTTCTGAGCCGCCGCCTCGGACCTGCCCTGCATTAGGTCAGGAAGTTGCCTTGGGAAATATTCCCTCTGCCTCGCAGTTGTCAGAGGGGAAACTGAGGCTAGAGGAGGGGTAGGACTGTCTACACCACCCAGTGAGGACAAGGCAGGCCTGGGACCGAAGTCCTGGCTCAGGGAGGCCTGGAGCCACCTGCGCTAGGTCACAGCAGGGACTCGGAACCAGGTTCCTGACCTGGGCCCCTCATCTGGGCATCTTTGTTAGAGAAAGCTTTCCCGTTTCCTGCCTAACTTTGCCTCCTCCTGGTGGTAACGGGCAGGAAGGCCCAAGGCTCCTTCTTGCTCGCTTTTAAAGCCACATTGCACAGCCAACAAATTCCCACTCTACAAAACCGGATGTTTACTGCCCACCCCTCCACCCTCAGGTCCTTTCCCTCCCGACCTCCGACCCTCGAGCAACAGCCACGCCTCCTCGCCATGCGACCACGCCCGCTCACCACAGAGCACGCCTCCCAACATCTAACCACGCCCCTGATCCTCCAACAGCCACGCCCCCTCGGTATGCGACCACGCCCGCTCACCACAGACCACGCCCTGGACCCCTCAACAACAGCCACGCCCCCTCGCCATGCGACCACGCCCGCTCACCACAGAGCACGCCTCCCAACATCTAACCACGCCCCTGATCCTCCAACAGCCACGCCCCTCAGCATGCGACCACGCCCTCACCACAGACCACGCCTCCCAACAGCTGACCACCCCCCTGAACATCCAACAACAGATAGGTATGCGATCACGCCCACTTACCACAGACCACGCCTCCCAACGTATGACCACGCCCAAAATCCTCCAGCAATAGCCACGCCCCTCATCACGTGATCATGCTCCCGGCATCGGCCACGCCCACATCTCACCACCCCTCTTCCGACTCTCCAGCGGCAGCCACGCCCCCTCGTCATGCGACCAAGCCCCTCACCATAGACCACGCCCCCACATCTGGTCACGCCCCTCTCTCACCTGCAGGCTTCCAAGACACCTGGCATGACGAAGAGATGGCAGCAGGGCAGGACCTTGCTGAGGAGGAGCACCTGGGGAGAAGCGTGAGGGCCGAGGCTGTCTGGGAGCTTCGCCATCCTGTCCTCTCCAAGTGACAGAGTTCACTTAGTGCCCCAGCACCACTGCCTCGCAGCCATCCATTCCAGCGTCTACACCGCCCACCTCTCCCTGACTCTGACCCGCCTCCCCCAGGCCCGGCTCCACGCAGCCCTCCAGACACCTCCTTTCCCAGGCCCTCTCTCCCCCTCAGGCCCCACCACACTTCTTCCAGACCCCATCCCATCTCTCCCAGGCCCCGCCCTCCCCAGGTCCCACCACCACCTCTCCCAGACCCTGTCCCATCTCTCCTTGAACCCAGCCTCTCTCCCAGGCCCCGCCCCTGTGCTCCTCTACCCATCTCACCCCTCCCAGACTCCACCCCACCTCTCCCAGAACTCATCCTGCCTCTCCCTGGCCCAGGCCTGGTGTACCTCGTCCTCACCCCAGCTCTCTTGACTCTTTGTTCACCCTAACCCTTTTGGACTGGGCCCCACACCAGGGTCCCTGCCTGCAGTGAGATGGTCCTCGTGGTTGGTCACGTGCTGCACAAATTGCCTAAGAGCTTGGTGACTGCAAGGCCATTGTCTCCCCCATGAGTAAAATGTGGAGTACCCGGAACTCTGTAGGACATTGTCCTGTCCCCTCAGAGACACAGAAGGGACCCGAGGAGGGGAAAATGGCAGATCTGGCCCGAGTCTCATCTACCTTGCTGAACACCCACGGAGGGGTGCATTGTTTCCTGATTCAGAGTCCAGCTTGGTCACATGAGATCAAGTGTCTCCAATTAGATGAACACTGGAAGGGTGCTGGTGTCGCTACCCCTCCGGCCGGGCACTCGTACACTTGGAGGAATTGTAGTGTGCTGGCCAATGGAGAAGCGGGTATAGAAATCGTTCCTTGACCTAGGAGGTGGGCAGTGAGCTGTGTCACACAGCCCACAGGACATCCCAAGCCAAATACCTGGCCAGGTGGGCCCTGGATCCCAAATACCTGGTCAGGTAGATGTGCCTCCTGTGGGTTTCCTGGAATTGGAACCTTCCAAAATGCACACAAGTATGCACACCCACCAAGCAGGTGCCTCACACATCTGTAGGGCAAACCAACTGTGAAAACAATTCTCTGACCACAGCCAAAGATTGACACCTTTGAAGGAATTCCAAGGAGACAAGAATATGCCTGAAAATTTTAGGAAAGGGAAAAAAATTGAACCAAGAAGCTGGTAGCGGGAGGGAGATGATGTGGTCCATTAAGGGTCTGCTTGTGAGGATGAGGATGGCACAGGACAGGGTCCAGATCTGTTATTCAGAGTGTTGTTAGGAATTGTGCTCTACTCGACAGCACCTAACAGTTTCCAGGGGAAGCCCTGATGTGGGCAGCCAGGATGCCTGGGGTTTCTCAGTCCTGGAGGGTGCACCTTCTACAGCTCTGAACAGGTGGCCAGGTGCCAGAGCCCCGGCTCTCCAGGGCACCAGGCAGGAGGTGGGTCACAGTGATAGAGCAGGCAGAAGGCTTTGGTGCAGCGGGCAGAAGTGTAGCCATATTTGGCCCCACCAAAGTCCACTGAGGCTGGTTCTTTCAATCTTGCTTTTCTCTCCAAAAACGTTCCCCAACAAGTCATCTTAACGATGCAGGTAGTGACAGGCAGTATTGCTGTAGTTGGAGGTATAGACCCCCAACAATACAGGCACATACAGCAAACAACCCTACACCCAGGGAAACCTGTGCTGATATCCAAGCCAGGCAGAGAGGTGACAGACTGGCATCTCCTGACTCCATCAGGAGTGCCCAGGGCCTCCATCTCCTTAATGTGACCCCGACTGCTCATGCGCTGGTGGGAGTCCAGTAAACAGGTTCTACACTCACTTTCCCTGCAGCACAGGCTGTGGGCAGCTGTCACGATGTCCAGAGAGCTCCGGTTCTAGGCCACCTTCCTCATCTGGACCATTTCAGCAGTTAATAGTTGAGAGTTTTCCTGCTATCACACACACCCCCTTTGTCCCACGATTTCCAAAGAGTCAAGGGAGGTTAAGTGATGAATGAAGCCCTTCCTGGTTGAGCCCGCAATCACCGCATGGCTGCGGCCACCATGTCTCAATGTCCTTTTCACATCGACCTTCTTTACCCAGTGAGCTGTCTTTCTGGAGGCACAGGCCCCTCTGATGACATCATCCTCGGCTGGAAGGAGCACCCTGGCTGCATTTCCTCCAAGCCAGGTGGTTTTGTCCTCTCATTAAACGCATTGTGTCGACTTGGAACTGACAGTGAACCCTTCAGTCACAGGTTTTGGGGGCTGTAACTCATGGGACATTGTCCACGTTTCTCCCTTAAAGCTGTGGGTGGGTTAAAATTACGTGACATACACACACACTCTCTCTGGGTTACCAAAGCAGCTTCCTACATCCTACCTCACCCGAGTTCCTTTTTTTCTTTTTGGCAGTCCACTGTAATTCAGTTCTTTGCCAACACCACATTCAAAGGTATTTTAAGTAAGCTTTTCTTGCCCACTGCCCAATTTTGATGGATGTGAGGGGATTCAAAACACCATGGTTTGGGTCAGGAACACCTTCACCCTCAGAACATAGCCGATTTGGCCGAGTGCAGTGCGTCTCCTGACTGCAGCTCCTGTAGGTGTTGCTGGGACCTGGCTCTTACTAAGCAATGGTTCAGGTGTGGGCATCGACTCCTCTATTCCTGTGCTGCAATCCCAAAGGCACATGGTTTGAATCCACCAGCTGCTCCATGGGAGAAGGATGGGCGGTCTCGTGCTGTGTGATTTTCTGCCTCTGAAAACCCACTGGAGGGTCAGCTGTGGGTCAGTTCGGACTTGCTGGCACCCCACCCTCACCCCCAGTGTGGGGCAGCCCCCAGGTGCAGTGGCCTGCCTAGCCATCAGGTCACCCAAGTAAGGGACACACAGTCATCTACTATCATTAGCTGACATTACCGATGCATGCACCATCACCAGGGAGACAGGAGTCCAGCCCAGCACTCAGGAGGGTGATGTAGGGGGGTCCTTAACAGTCTGAATGGGTCCTCCCCAAACGTGTCACCTTGCCCTAGCTCTCCGTGCTGTGGGCTATCTCCCATGTGGGACTGCTGTGACTGTCGTTTGGGGAGTCAAGCCTCCCTGTGATTTTGTTTTTTATTATTTTGTGTGCGTGTACCGTCAAATCAGATCTGACTGGTACAGGAGGATATTGCACCTCCTTCTCCGGCAGAGCATCTGGTGGATTCGAACCGTGTTCCTCTGGGATTGCAGTCTCCCTGTGATTTTGAGGAAGGGCTGGTGGCAGCGTCGGTGAGGTGAGACACAATCCACAGGATGAGGTATCTGGAGTCAATCGCTCAGAAGGCTTAACAAGCGGGTGCTGTCAGCGAGAGGGACTTCAGCATCACCAGCAGGGGCAGGCCATGGCCCACGGAGAACTCCGTGGAATTCTATGCAGAGGCATTTCTCCAGAATGGGCAGACGTCTAGTCTCCCCAAACCTTGAGAAGAACTTTTTGTCCAAATAAAAACGTGATCCGCGTCGTCCTGCCACAGGCCCTCCCTACAGGATTCTGACCAGTACAGCAACAGAAAATGAACATGTATCTTCCTGCCCTTTTAGTGTGGAGACCAGTGACTCCTCTCTACATACTGAAAGCCTGTCCACTTGGCCTAGGACGGTTTCAACCCTCAACCAGAAGCAACTCCCTTCTGCTCGTGTTGAAAATGACCTTTAATGAAAAGAAAATCTTGCAGAGAAGTGTCCTTATTTTCCTAATTCCTTTCCTTTATAGGATATGCTCAGTCTTTTCCCAAGTGATGGTTCAGACCAGAAGGCCAGCATACAGGAAGGTCCCCCAAGGTCCAGGAATGCCCCCAGATAAGTAGCCTGGGCACCTGTGAGGAGTTACTTTTAATTCGGCCAAGAGACATAAGGGACCACGTGCTCAATCTCCCAGAGGCCCCTGAAAGGGTGTTTGGTGCTGACCACACCCCCACGCAGACATCTGCTCCCCGAATGAACACCCAGCACCCGTGCTGACGTGCAGCTAACCCAGGATGGCACCCTCCAGGCCACCACCTGTGCCCCTGGATAGTCAGACGCCAGCTCCTTTTCTGAGAGCCCCACCTCTCCCTCATAGAACTGCTAAGTACAAGCTCTTCACACCCCACCCTAGCCTGAGGCCCTCCTCAGAACCTCTCCTCCCCGGGAAGATTTGAGAGCTCACATCCCATCTCCTGTAGTTGTTTACCTTGGAGTCAGAGCTGACCCAGGGCTAGCCCTCTGGAGGGAATTTACAGAGGGAGGCGACGAGAAGCGGGTGGGCTCGAACTGTGGGCCTTTGCCTTCAGGATTGCAGAGCAGCTTCTTGCCACTAGACCCTGTCTCCTACATGTTACCATAGAGAATGCTTTCCCCATTCCAACTTGCCTCCTGCTGGTAGGACCACATTTCTCTGGCATCAGTGCTGTTGACGGCTCCGTAAGCCACTGGAGAATTCACACGGCTAACCACCCAACTGTGACCTGTCAGTAAGCCCAAGTAAGAATTCCCAAAGGATACTGAGTTTACAGGTCCAAAAAGGGGGAATAACTGTAGAGCTTCTCCTTACCACCCTATGAGGAATTTCATAGGTAACTTCACAGTAGGAATGGATGAAAGCACTCAGTAAACCACGTGTCAGATCAGATCCTTTATTGTATGTATTTAATCTTATTATAAAATATCAACAAAACATTATAAAAGAAAAAGCCAGTTGCACAAAGCTAATCCAGGAAGCCATAATTGTATCACCCAGAGGTTAAAAGAAAGGCAAAATTTCGTTTGGATTGAGCTAGTGACACACAGAGCAGGCCAGCCCTGCCGCTACGCTGACCTGCCAACGTATGCAAAGGCACCAGGCGTGCTGGGAAGCCTTCCGGTCAGCACTGCTGCTCGCCGGGGAACTGAGACTTTGGGGAAACGTGCAGGCAGAAGCTACAGCAGTAAGAAGGAACCGTCCCACGTCTGATACACGGTGGTCCCTTCGCTGTGGGAGCGGATGTGTGCGGTGAGGTGGGAGGACGAGCTGAAGGACTCCCCACACTCCTCACACTCGTAAGGCCTCTCCCCACTGTGAACACGCATGTGAGCAGTGAGGGCCGGGAAGTCGCGGAACGTCGCGCCACAGACTCCGCACTGACAAGGCGTCTCCCCCTTGTGACAGTTGGCGTGTCTGGTGAGGTTGTACAGGCGACTGAAGGCCCGCCCGCACTGCTCACACTCGTAGGGCTTCTCCCCCCGGTGAGTTTTGATGTGGGTGGAGAGGGCCGAGGAGTCACTAAAGGCCTTGCCACACTCCGTACATTCATAGGGCTTCTCCTTAGTGTGAGAGATGAGGTGTCTGCTGAGGTGTGAGGACAGACTGAAGGCCTTCCCACAGTACTTACAGCCGTACGGCCTCTCTCCACTGTGGATTCTGATGTGTGTGGTGAGGGCGGACGCGTGGCTGAAGGCGCGCCCGCACTCCTTACAGGCGTAGGGCCTCTCCCCAGTGTGGGTCCTGATGTGGGTGATGAGGGACGAGGCGTAGCTAAAGGCCTTCCCACAGTCCTTACACGCGTAAGGCTTCTCCCCACTGTGGGTTCGCACATGGTCATTGAGGGAGGACGCGTGACTGAAGGCCTTCCCACACTCGCTGCACTCGTAAGGCCTCTCTCCACTGTGAATTCTTATATGGCTGTTAAGGTTTGAGGAAGACCGGAAGGCTTTCCCACACTCCTTACATTCATAGGGTCTCTGTCCATTGTGGGCAGTCTTGTGTCTATTGAAATTGGAGGCCTGACTGAAAGCCTTCCCACAGATCGTACATTCGTAGGGCTTCTCCCCACTGTGTGTTCTAATGTGTGTGGTCAGGGCTGAGGAGTCGTTAAAGGCTTTCCCACACTCCTTACACTCATAGGGCCTCTCGCCACTGTGTGTACTGATGTGCCTGGCCAGGTGGGAGGACAGAGTGAAGCACTTCCCACACTCCTGACACTCGTAAGGCCTCTCTCCACTGTGGCTCTTCATGTGCCGAGTGAGTGAGGAGATCTGCCGGAAGCCTTTGCCACACTCATCACACTCATACGGCCGGTCCCTACTGTGACAGCTGACGTGCCTAGTGAGCTGGGAGCCCTGGCAGAAGGCCTTCCCACACTCCTTACAGACGTAAGGCTTGACATCACTGTGGTTCCGCATATGCTTGTTGAGGCCAGACGCCTCAGCAAAGGCTTTCCCGCACTCCTTACATAAGTAAGACATCCTCTCCTTTAAAACGTATGTGAGGGCGGGAGGAAAGATGAGGGGCTTACAAGATAGGCTAGTTACCCCTATGACCTTCCTTGCATTTGTGCCCAAAGGGATTAGAAATGACAGACTAGGCCTCACTAGTGGGCGCTGCTGGACAAAGGCTTCCCAACATGCCCAACAGCTGAGATGTCTTACTCTGAAGAGGACTCCTAGGTGTGCTTCAGGGAGAGCGACCCAATGGAGTCTCCCCAATCCTCACCCAGGTGGGTTCTGCACCTGGTGTGAGGCCTACATGGTAAGTGACCCAGGAAGGCCTTTCCCACAGTGACAGCTGGAGTCCAGTGACTGCCTTCTTCACTTCCACCGACGCTTTTCACTGTCCTGTATGATTTCTGTTAAAACAAACAAAACCCCCCAGGGATTTCAGTATTAGAAAGAAATCTGTTTCCACTTTACCATTTATAAGCCTAGTCCATGTGCATGGCATTTGCCTTGACTTTTCTTTTGATTTATAAGTTAACGTATGTAGCAAAAACATGATCATTATTGTAATGGTTTTTAATAAAATATTTGGTTTCTGATAACTGTAACCAAGTGAAGTAAATGTCAAACACCTGGCATCCAACTTCCATGTTCATTTCACCCAGGCTTTCCTCTTTTTTTACCGGCCCCCTACAATCCCAAGCATTACAGATACAGGTATGTACCCACACCAACCACTTGGGAAATGTCTAACTGCACACAGTCGAAGTCCTTCTCCCAGGGCAGCGCAGAGACCTCCCCAGAGCTACTCTCATTCTACTTCTCCCAACCTTGAAGTTCTGCCAAGAGTGAGGCAGATTCCCCTTAGACAAAGCAGACACCCGATGGCCATGGGTCAGAGTTGGGGTTACACAGAAAGGTGCCGGGAGCCGGGCTGACAATAAGCTCTGGACTGAGGCATGGCTGTTCCCTCTCTCACAGGCTCCAGCTGGAGCACTCAACAGATTGCAGCCTCTGCGGAGATGCTGGGCTGTGACTGCCTGGCTCCATCCTTTGAGCCTTCAGACACAGGACGGTGGTTATTCAGAATGAGCTGTGTGCCAAGAGGCTGCCAAGTCAGGTCTCAGCTAGCAGACTCAGAGACTTGGCACTGCCTGAACCAGAGCAGCTGAGAAGTTGCCCTGATACATGTGCATCACATACAGACAAACAGAGGTACCACACATAATACAGTGTTCCTACAAGGTTCACATGGTATAACACAGTGTCCTATTTCACAGGATTTATCATGGATGTTAAGCGACAAATACCTGTGTAAACATTCTGTTAAGTCAGAGCTGACTGTCTAGTGGGGCTCCAGAGGCAATGAATCGCGTGGGGGGAGAGTGCCCATTACCCCACTGTAGCACAAGAGTATGGAGGGTCATGACCCCGTAGGGCTTGGTCCTGAAGCAGCTTTTTTCTGGGCTGCACTGACACTCACCTCAGAGCTCACCTCTGGCTGTTCTGCGGATCTCTTCTGTCATGGGACGCACTAATTTCTCCTAAAATATAAAACCAGGTGTTGTTACTCATGAACTGCACCAGCACATATTCAATGAATAACTTTCTGCATATTCAAGGTTTTGAGAAATTGACCCAATAATTCAAGTTGAAGTTCACAATGTGAAACAAAAAGGAAAAGGAAAAATGGGAGTGGATTTCTTTTTCTTTTTTTTTTTTACAGTTAGTGGGAGTGGATTTCTGTGACTCAAGACTCAGGCAGGAAGAGACATCTTATCTCTGAGCACTCTGGCTGTCGTGGAAAGCAGGCTTCTGGGAAACACACCTTCTGGGACTGAGCGTGAGCGTGACCTAAATGAGTGTTAACCAGGAAGTCTAAGCAGAACAGAGCAGGGACAACACAGGCAATCTCACAGAGGCCTCCACAGAACAGGTGTGAGCAGAATGCTAATGTCAGAGAAACAGCTGAGCTCTCCGGGAAGTTGTGTCCTCAATTCAAAAATGGACTTTTCCCAGGCACTTCCCAGCAGAGTGGCCCTGGTGCAGTCCCATCCCCACCCTCACGGTCTCAGATCCCATCCGTGCTTGTCTGGGAACACACGTGACTATAGCTGACATGGTGCTCGTGGAGAAACACATGACACGAGGGAAGACAAGACAGTGAACCACTGTGTCACTGAGCAAACACTGCTCCTTAGGGATTCTGAAGACGACCAGCTGGGAGCGGCAATGCTACTCTCCTGAGACCAGGTTACTAAAGGTTTCCATCATAGCATGTCATGGACTGAACAGTGGACCCACAAATCAACGTGAACTTGACTGGCCCCTGCCAACAACATGGTCCGAGCACAGGAGAGGAAAGGTCACCATTCTTGCCTCAAAAGAACACCCTTGTAACACTTTTCAACACAGAATGTTTGTTCTTTCGGTAGTCCAGGGGATGTTCAATACTTTTTGTCAACAGCACAATTCAAAGGCATTCTTTCTTCACTCTTCTTTATTAATTTTTTTATTATCAGATATACAGGAAGCAATTAAAAATCCTATGGTTTTAATCAAGCACATCTTAGTCTTTAAACTAGCACTTTGTTGATTTCATCAACACAACCTGTCTTTTGGAATTACAGTGTGCTACTCCAGCGGTGAGGGAGCTCTGGTGGCCTAGTGGCAAGAAGCTGTGCTGCAATCCCAAAGCACATGGTTCGAGTTCACCAGCTGCTCCAAGGGAGAAGGATGGGCAATCTCCTCCTGTGAGATTTGTCTCTGAAAACCCACTGAAGGTCAGCTATGGGCTGGTTCCGACTCTATGGTCGTCAACAACCGTAAGTCCAGTGGTAAGGATCTTTGCTTCCTTGATATTGCGGTGTACTGAAGCCCACACACTGGTCTTCCTCAGCGAAGTCTTTTTCATTTCCTGCAAGCAAGGTTGGGTCATCTGCCTACTGCAGGTTGTTGATGAGTTACCCTCCAATTAGCTTTTTACTTTTTGGGGGGTTTCCCTGTTGTGTACCATTAAATCGGATCCGAGTGTCACAAGAGATTTCTCCTCCTTCTCTAGCAGAGCATCTGGTGGACCTGAACCATGAGCCTTTGGGATTGCAGTGCAGCTTCTTGTCATTAGGTCACCAGAGCTCCCTTCATCCTCCCATTTTTCTTTGTATCATCAACCACATCCAACCACATTTTTCTATGCACCATCAACCTTGTCAAATGACCTGATCAGACTGAGTATGGAGAAAGACTAAAACCTTGATACACAGCAAAAGGCAAGTAAACATCTTTCGGTTCTTCTCAACTCCCAGCCAAGATCTGTCCACGGGCCCTTTCTGAGCCCAGCTGGAATTTTTAGTTGTTCTCTGTTGATGTACTGTTCTGTCTGCAGAAAAATGTTCACCAAAATCTTGCTTCCATGTGATACTGAAGCTGTGTTTGGATAACGCCCACACTGTCAGATCACCTTTTCATCAGTTTCTAGGGGCTTTCCCCCCCAATGCCTTCAATGCAGCTTGAATTTCTTCCTTTAAAACCACTGCTTTCTATTATACGCCAATGGTACTCCCTGCTTGGTGCTAACCAAGTCATTTAGCCCCATAACTGTGCATTCTGGTGCACTGATTCCTTCTGCCTTCTTTTGATGCTTCCTATATCGATCGATATTTAGACACAGAATCCCTCAGTATTACTCCTACTGGAGGCTTGAAGTTGTGGTTCAGTTCTTTCAGCTTGGGAAAGCCAAGGGTAAGTGTACTCTTTTCTTTTGGTTTCCCAACTCCAGCTCTTTGCATAATTCATTATAATACTTTTTCCAAGTTGTCCTTTGAAATTTTCTGTTCATCTTTCTTCAGCATTTCCTCCTATTGTTCTGACCTCTATGTTCTATTGCAATGTTCAGTGTCTTCTAACATCCATTCTGGACTTTTTCTGTCTTGTAATGACATCTGCTTTTTTCACGCTCAGATGAAAGAAAAAACTCTGATGCATCTGGGCATTTCACTGGCCACCTCCTGCTGGGCTGGCAGGGACCCACTCTTCCAGGCCAGACAGAATGTGATATTTATATGTTTACTTGTCTCATAATTTACTGGATGGGTCCGGCACCTGTCTGTCAGTCTGTTGTATGGTAGTGACACTTGTGTTGCTGTGATGCTGGAAGATCTATCACAAGCTGAGTCTGTTAACAATTTCAACTTGCTTGGATTCACTCATGGCTCTAGTAGCCATAGCTGACTTCATGTCACATAACAACAACAACTGAAGAGTGTGGTTAGAATGTCCTACGTCCACCTTGTGTGGACTATGCGAGCAAGGATTTAGAATAATCAACTAGTTCACGCTGAGAGAAAAAACCCAAAACACTAAAACTCTGCATCTAGTAAAGTTATCCTTGAAAAGGGAAGAAACAACAAACGGTAAAGAAATGTTCGTGAAAGAAATGTTCGTGAAGACGTACATAAACCGGAATCATTCTCCCTGCTCAGAATCTAAAAGGGCACGTCTGTTGTGGAGGTTTTGGCAAACACCCTGGAAGAGATCCTTATTTTTGTCCATTTCAAAGAAAGGTGATCCAACAGAACATAGAAACTATCAACCAGTACTATATGCAAGCAAAATCTCCGAGACTTCCCAGTTAGAGGATTCTATTAAAAACGTCTGGCGAGGAAGCAGCAACGCAGAGGAAATGGGAGTGATCAAGACTGCAGCCAGCACCTTGAGCCTCAACAAGCCGAAGAGTGAGAAGACCCCAGGCCCTGCAGAAGCCCGAGGCCGAGGAGTTCAACACGGGGCCGCCCTCTGTGCTCACGGTCAGGCAACAACAACACGCAAGTGCTCATCAACTGCCACAACAACAAGCTCCTAGCCACGTGAAGATGTCGACCGCGCGCCCCAAGAGTGGCAAGGGCAAGAAGTCAGTGTGTCAACAAGGACTACTCCATCTCTAAAGATATTCCTGCATGTGGACTCATCGTGGTCCTAAGGAACCCTCC